TGGTACCCCAGGTGAGCTCTACAGAGGGATGAGAGCAGTTCACGGCACCATGAACAGGCATTTCTAAGGCAGGACAGGTCACAGCTGAAAAGCATAAGAGAAAACACAGGGTTTAGCTTGGAACAAATCATAAATTTTTTCTTTCCTGAAACTTAGCAACATGCCTACTAAACAGAAGCAGCTTTAGAAAAAGCTACTATGCTATCATTTCAGAAAGTAGATAGGAGTGGAAAGATCTCAAAATGAAAGACAGACTCTTAAGACAATGTTGCAAACTCATTTGCAGCTCTTGACAGTAACTAATTACAATCCAAAGTTTTCTCATTCTGACCTCTGTTTGGTGATGTTTGATGCTTTTATTTGCTTCAAACAGTAGTTTATTCTAAGCTGAACACCTCAAAAAAATAATTCCTACAGTCAGGAGTAATCAGTGTGTTGTGAACAGTCTCAAAGCTAGATCATCTCCATTCTCTGTTCCCCACTAGCAGGTGGAAAAAAAACCCTACAAGGAAATCTAGACCAGGGCCATAACATTCATCCTGTCCATTTCATCTCTTCAGGAAAAGAGAACTGCGTGTCGCAATAAAACAACACCTTCGCCACGTAATTAATTACAAAGGAACAGGCCAGAACTTCAATTTGTACCTACTAATAGCAACACTCAAGTTTATGGAGCTATGCACAACGTGGAAAGCTCATCTATCACTGCTTGAGAAGCTCACCTTTGCATGCTGCAAGGGGTGCAGACCAGACCCCAGAAGAGGTACAGTGTACAGATTCCAATGCAGTCAGTTCATAGCCTTCCTCACACTGAACTGTGCAGGATGAGTTGTAGCCAAAGTTCTCTAATGGATGGTCACATTTGAGGCTCCCATGATCAGGTTTCTTTAGCAGATCACAAGTCTCAACTTCAAAGAAACACAAGAAGGTACACAGTCAGTTTCACTGACTGAGCAGGTAAATCAACCAGACAGACAAACTGAACACTAGTTAGTTAGCATGAACATCACCCCTGGCTGAAAAGTAGGATGGAGTAATCTTACCAAACTCGCATTCAGGTCCATAGAAGCCAGGGTTACAACGGCAGGTGTGATTGTTAATAGTCTCTATGCATTCTCCACAGCCACTGCAGAGAGATGGGTTGCAAGAAGCTGAAAAAAAAAAAAAGAAATACAGCAAATTATAAAAAAAGTCAGCAATGGCTGTTAATGAAACCTGACTAACTCTTTGTTTATCTTTCTAGGACTACACAAGCACTTTGTATAGTAGAAGCAGGCGGTTTGGTACGTAAGAGTACCCTGTCATTTCACGGAAGCATTTCAGAAATCAACACCTTTGACAGACTAGCTCACAGTGAAAGGATTCTACTGGCTGGAAACTCAATGACCACTTGCTCTCAGGTAGATATGAGCAATATTTAAAATGCAAAGGGAACAATATACTATGGGGTAGGTAGAAATCCTTAACAGGTATATTCTTCATTAACTCACCACAGCTCTAATTTGGCTGATACTTGACTTGGATTTTTTTTTTTTTTTACCTAGCTTTAGCCACCTCTACACAAAGTGTCTAATCTAATCCAGTGGTCTATAGTCAGCAGGCAGATGCCTTCAAAAGGGCAATTCTTATCGAGCTGAGACATCCACTTGAGAGTGAAATAAAAGTCACCACTTGGAAGAGCCTGTTTCTCTTCACTGATTATAGAGAAGGTCTGGTGATTTGCTCATAAAAGGTGTACAATATTCTGGGAGCTAAAAGGTAAGTGAGATCAATCCAGCTCTTAGGAAAAGAACCACCTCAGCCCTGCAAGCAAGGATAAGTGTACAAGTGCTTACAGGATCAGGTAGTTAATACACAAGACTGGGTTAAACAACTCATCCCACCCACCATCTCAGCTCCGCACAGGCACACTAGAATGACCTTTATCACACCATACCTGTGTAGCACAGGGCGACCTTCTTTTTCTCACACTGTTCATCATTCCACTTGCCGTCATCCTTCCCTCTTTTGATGTAGATTTCAACACAGTCTTCGTTGTTCCCTTTGCCATTTGGCTCACCTGAAGCCCAGTTTTCTGCCTCTTCTGTCAGCTCTTTGTTAGTTCCAACCCAGGTCCATACCTCATTAATTTTTCTGATTCCAATCCAGTAGTAACCCGGATTGAAGGGTAAGAAGTCATTGAGATAGTTGATTTCCTCCTTATTCTGAATGGCAACCATGTTAGTATACCTCTCTCTGCACCACAGCTCTGCTTCACTGTAGGTCATGTTTGTGTCTGAATAATGGTATGTCCAACAACTCACCCCCTGCAGTATTGTAAGTCCTAGAATGAAAAGATGTCAAAAAGTTGGTGTCTGACTTTTTCCCCTCCTCTCTAAGATATATAAAGCTCTAAATTTTACAAACTTGTCAATATCTGAAACTGCATAAAAAGCAGTGGCAATTATTTTATGAACAATTAAATGATAAGCTTCAAAACAGGCATGTCAGCGTCAAGTACAGGGACTTCAGCCTGTGAAACTACATCCGATCCCACAAAGCTCTGCAGACTTCATAGCAAACTCTAGGAGCCAATTATGTATTTGACAGGCAAGCAGGGAAACATGCCATTGCAGTTAGAGGTTTTCTTATGTGAACCTAGCCTCAAGCTAATTAGGTCAGGTTCAAAAATTCTGTTTAATTCTGAACTCAAACACAACAGTCACACTGATCTTACCATCCAACTAGTTTTCCACAGAGGCATACACACTTACCATAAGCAAGAAGAGATAGGAACCACAAGCAAATCATATTTCTGAGTCTTCTCTTCTCTATCTTTTAAGCAGATGGCTATGAAAGATCAAAGGAACACATTTGTAAAGAACAAGTGCTGAATTTTTACAATTCAATATAAAATACTGTCTATGCAGTCTTTTCTACGTACTTTTTTACCAATTATTCGAAAGACGAAGATTTCCATTTTTAGGAAATCATTCATTTTAAAAGAGTTCTTTATCAAGACAGCTTTTAAATATAAACAGCTTTTAAAGAACACCAACACGGAATTCCATCTGTCCAGTTTTCTTTTAGCTGAGGAACAAAACAGAATAACACACTCCATTTATACTCACAGGCTGTAGTTGTGGTGGCCAGGTGGCAAAAGTCCTCTGCGATATTTCTCAGTGACTGCTTTCCGTTGTTAAGTTGCAGAATAAGGACTTGAAGATTAACTTCAGCTCCAAGTGTCTGGACTGTGTAATCCCTTGCCTTTACTACGGCCTTTTATTCTCTCAACTGGCCTGTCCTCCACAAGACAGGAAATTCCACGTGGAAAAAAACTTCTTGGAAAATCCCAGGATCTGGCCCTCCCACACATTAAGCCTGATGCATGCCCTTGCCAAATCAACTCTCCCGCAAAGACACACTGTGCTGACAAACTGCCAAGTGCAGCATTACATAGTTTTACTGACAGAAACACACAATTCCAGGATATCAGGAAGGCGCAAGATGGTTAGTTTGAGTTCGTTGCATGAATAAGCAGATTCCAACTTACCACCTACCACAATGGTTTGCATCAAAGAGATACCACTTCTTTTGGGATCTCATTAAGAAAGGCATCAACACTCAAAGCCGGTTAACTAAGTTTGAGTAAAAGATGGAAACTGCAACATTGGATAAGCCCTTCCTTGTGGATCACAGCATGCTGTGCTGAGTTCTCATCTGTGGTGAGGTTTGCCAGCCCCAGGATCGCTAATACTCTTCTAGAGTCTTGCTTACAATACAGATTCATCAGTCACTTGTAGCAGTCAAGCTTGGAAGGCAGACTTGGCTTTGAACAGGCCCTTGGACAATATGCTCCAATATCCTTACCTCAATAGAGGTACAGTTCCTGAACAGGTGCATACAATATTTCAGGTGGACAAGACAATACACTAGTCTCGTACTGCATTCATGCACATTCATTGTGTATGCACTGATTAATTATACCACTGCATAGAGCAGTCACTTGGTGTCCATGGTATGGAGACACATGCCTGAGTAATCATGGACACTTTTGGGTTGGTAAGCAGCTCCAGGCTACTCAGAGTGCATCTGCGTACAGGAGAAGGCAGTAAGCAGGTGGATTGCCGACTCCTTGCACAGTAGTCCTCCTGGATGCACTCTATTCCTTGATTCTCAAGCATACCTTCACACAACCACCACTTCAGTGATAAGGTGAGTGACTTGCCATGCTACGTACAGAAGTAGTTTTGGACAGTCTCACTTCAGTATCCTTCTCGCCTCTGTTACAGGAGGTCTCACGAGTACTGTTGGGTACAAGTTCCCTACTATAAGTAGGGAACGAGCAACACAAGTAATAGACACGCTAGCTCGGTTCTCAACCCTGTGCAAAGACACAACACAAGAAGCTTGTCACAGAGTCCACCTTCCCCAGCACTTCCAACCCTGGTTGACACAAAGTGGTATTATTCCTTGCGCTCTGATCAGTCATGTCACTCCATCCCACAGACTTGTTCCATGTCCACTAAGGCACTTACTATGTCCTGACAGTCCAGTTGCCAAACTGTTATTCTAGGTGTATTCACCATTATGGGTGAGGTTTAACAAGGCTCGACATTCAAAGGACTCAACAAGGGTTGTCAGTGATAGGAGGACACAGTGTAGCACCCATTTCATATCTGTAAAACATAGTTATAGTTTATACAGTACACATTGGAGCTTATTTTGGAGCCTCAGCCTATTCTACAGAATAAAAATCGGTGGCTTCTGGATCCTAAGCTAAGATCTCAGCTGGTATTAATTCCCAATTTCACAAAAAAGTATTTGTCAAGTAGCTGTACCTTCATAAATCTCTGCCATTAAAGGAGTCCAACACAGAAAAGAGGATAGAGTAAAGAGTATGTTCTAAACCAGTCTCAGTTACTATCAAAATACGAGATTTTACTAGAAATTGCAACAAAGTCCTAGGAAGCATGTCAAAGTCAGTTACTGAATAGAGTGAGGATTAAAAACAACATACTGAATATTCATAGGGAGAAGAACACTTTCTGGCAGGTGTGAACTGGCAAAGCTAGAAACACAAATAAATAATTGAGAAACTGTGGAAAGTTGAAGTTAACTCTTGACTACTCCACAGATGCATTCTGCAAGCCCAGACCTGTGCCAGCCTTGCTCAGAACAACCGGACTTCCAGAGACTTCCAGGTAGTGTCAGATCAGGACTGCTATTTCTTTAGTCTCAGCTAGTCGTCTCTAAATTGGGAGTGAAAACATTTTCTGTCTGCCAACCTTTCTCTGAGTTCTTCAGATTGTAAACCCTCCTAACAGAGGCTGGCACTTTTAATGCACCTGTAGAGTACGACATGCAGCAGGGCCTAATTTCACAGCGGTCTGTAAACGTTATCCTAATACAAACTAAGGGTAAAGAGTTTTGATTTTTTTTTTTTCCCCCTGAAACATTGATCAGCTGTTATCATTGTACACATAGAAGAATTACAGACAACTCCAGAATAGTTTATATCCTCTGTGGAGCCAGGAGGCAGAAAATCCTACACCTTTTCCTGGAGATTCACTTTTTCAAATTCTTTTATGAGCTTCCTACCGGTAAGTGCTCAGCCTTCTCGTGACAGAAGCTCTGAAGTTGAGTGGAGGAAACTTCATCAAAATCGCCTTGCCAGTGGAATCTCCAGAGGAAGGAAGACAGCCTTCTACAGTTTACAATAGTCTTCCTTCACAGGGGCTGTCTGAGACCTCTTGTCTGCAGTAGATAAAAACACACACACAAAAAAACTCCAAACACCAAAGCCTAAAAGCAATATGCCTGTAAAAACTCCACTCTAAAAAAAGACTGCCTCTTTTTCTTGGCAATATTCCCTTGTGCATCACTGACATGGGGCTCTTTTTGGTTTTTCCCAGGGAATTCTGCCATTCACTGATAATATTTTTATCTCCTTTTAATATAATGGAAGATGAATACAAATGCAAAATTTTCAGAAAAAAGAAAGCCTGAAAAGCATTTTTTAAAGTGCACAATTGAGAGGTTAAAATCTCATTATTAAAAGTCAAAAGTGCTTAAAAACGCCAACCCTGTTGTTCAGGAAGACTGGGATTCCTCTGAGCTAAAGCTCACACTGCATCCTAAGTTACATAGGTATTTCAAGAAAAATAACCTCTGACATAGTTACTTAGGTTGAACTGCAGATATTCCAGCTAGAAATGCCATCCAGCCTGCCTCTTAGCTGTTTTCATATTACTGATTTATTCCCTTCTCACTCTTATTTCACATTTGTGCTTTTTTTCTTCCTCTGCCAATTGATTTGGGAACATAGGAACCTCATTTCTTGTGCCGCACTGAGCTGGGTGTAGTTGTCCACTCCCCTGTTGTGCTACATGAACATAGCTCCTTAAAATTAATTCAATTTCTCTGACAGAAAAACAGGAGACTCTAAACCTAAATCAAGCCAAATTTTTAGAAATGCTGAACAATTCTTTTTCCTATACACTCCAGACCTTCATTTCCACAAGGGAAAGCCCAGCTTTTTATAAGTGAATGGGAATACTCCAGATCACCTCTTTTCCCTTACAAACAGAGATGCTTAACAAGGATTATCTAGCAGCAACTAATTTTCCAGTTGGAAAGTTGACTTGATAGGCTACCAGGAGACACAAAAGGTAAGACCAGGCTATATAAACACATTAGGAGTAAGAATAACAAAAACCAGTCAGGTCTGCTATGTAAAGGAGGACAGCAATTGACAGAGGACATGTCAAGTGGTAGAACACTGGAACAGGTTGCCCAGAGAGGTGGTGGATGCTCCATCCCTGGAGACATTCAAGGCCAGGTTGGACGAGGCCCTGAGCAACCTGATCTAGTTGGAGATATCCCTGTTTGTTGCAGGGGGGTTGGACTAGATGACCTTTGAAGGTCCCTTCCAGCCCTAACCATTCTATGATTCTATGAAATGTCATTTCTTTCTATACACATAAAAATGAAGTTATATTTACTGCAATAATGTTACGCATCAGGAGAAGAGAACAGGTCAGAGCATGGAAAGACTGGAGTGAAGATTATGTCAGTTACAGCCAATCAAGATACTGTTTAAGGATCCAAACCCTCAGTAATTACCTTTGAGAGTACGAGGAAAGGTGTCAGAGGGCTGACAAAAAGCAAATATTGCCCCTCCGTACCCAGGAAAGAAGTCAAGCTAATTAGAAGCCAGGACTTCCACGTGAGCACTTCAGATAATAGAACCGTACTGAAAAATTTTTAAAGAAAAAATTGAAAAAAAAAAAATCAGCAGAAGGCTACTAAGCTGCCAAGAAGAGCTGACATTGATACGATAGATTTATTCTTGGCAGATTAATCTAGTTTGTACTTCAAGACTGAGTAACAAAGAAAGAATAGTGCACTACAGTTTGCTATAACTAAGACTTTTAATATTGTCCCACGAGACATTCTTATAAGCAAACAAGTGAAACAGTGCTTAGCTGAAATCACCATAAAATAAACAGGCAAGAGATGTAACCACTGCTCAAAGGGCAGTTTTCCAAAGATCTCCGTCAGTCTGAAACCACTGTGCGAACGAGCCCTGCGAAGGCTCATCCTGAACTAACTTGAGCTGATTTCAGTTGGACGGCAAATTATAATCTAAAATGCTTAGAAAATTTGCAGATGACGCTAAGCTTTAAGGAATTGCAAGGACCAATGTAGGACTCATATTTTGATATATTAGAGACATGATCCAAAAGAAATGAGGACAAATCAAGAGAAACAAGCACAATGATCTTAATCTAAAAAAAAACCCACCAAAA